TTGTGTTGTATGGTGTAGAGGAGATGGGCCGAATGGCCCATAGGCTGTCATTCTATGTTATGTTTATGTTTTTTCTCTGTAATGGGCCTTATTCTGGACCCATACTCTTATATACTCTGTTTTGTAATTTCTTGCCCATCCAAGGGCCCCTCTGTAATATTTCAAAGATTAAGTTAATAAAATGATTTAGAGTGTTAGAGGGAGGTTAAGTTCGAACCTCTCTTCTCTAACTCTCGTATTGCCACCAGCTCCTTTCCTCTCTCAACTTCTTAAGCTTCTCTTGTTCTTTTTTTGGTTTTGTATCTAATCTCAAGCTGTTTTAGACTACAAGAGGGTTGTTTTCAACTTGGTATCAGAGCAGGCTAGAGCTTGGCATGACCCTCATGTGGTTCTAGTTCAGCCAACTGCATGAGGAGGTTCTAGGGCTGAAAGCTTAAAGTCATTCGTCTGGTTCTTGGAGGTCATTGGAAGGTGCCCAAGTCTCTACACACTTGGAGAATGGTTCGGTGACCGGGAAGAATCAGAGAGCAAGGTATTCAACCTGATTTGAAATCAGAGAAAAGGGTGTCGAAGTTATCTCAGAAAGCAAGGTGTTCGGCCTGGTTTGAAGTTCAAATCAGAGATTCTCGTACTGTAAGTTTTCTCAGTTTTTTGCTGGGTCATTTTCGTTGCTTGGGAGGGCTGTTAAAGCATTCAAAACCCTCCTCCATTCTGCCTTACTGTTGCTGGACTGATTCAACTCAGAGATTTTTGGGTTATTTTGGAGAGCAATTCGACTGTTATTGGACTGCCAAGCTGCTGAAACTGATTTGGACTAAGTGGTACTAGTCTCAATTTCAGCCCAGCCTTTTTCTTGGACCTATACGGAACACTATTGAAGTGGTTTCTACTAGTTAACGGTAGGCTGTTAACTACTGCATACAGAGTGTTTGACAAAAGGTCTCTTAAGGACTGTGGACTTTTTCTCTCTCTCTTTGGGACAACGGTTGTTGGGGACTTGGAATATTTTGTGTTTAGGGGTCTACTGGTTGTCCCTTGAAGGCTGAAATAGTATTTCTTACTCTAGAAAGAGCTGCCACCGAGTTGGACTGTCACAGTTATCAAGACTAAACTGATTCTGTGAGCTGGTTGTTGTTGCCGATTCAGCTCAAACTAAGTTCATCAAGAACCCCAGTACCTTGGAAAACTTATTAAAATCCTAATTAGAGCCTTTGCATGATGGATTTCTCGAACCTTGAAAGCAAGAATGCTGCTGAATATGGACAGACTTTGGGAACCCCAGCCGATTCTATGTTGGCTGTAACTACAGTTAAACTTGATGGAACCAACTACTTGGCATGGTCGCAATCAGTGAAATTCCATATTTGTAGCAAAGGGAAATGGGGTTTTATTTCTGGGAGCAAGAAAGCTCCTCCAGAGGATGATCCATCTTATGAGAGATGGATGCAAGAAAACTACACAATGATTGG